CGCAAAAACGGAACGATGATGATGATGATGTTTCGGGGCAAATTGTGGATGCGATTTGCATGCAACAGCGCAGATGTATAGATAGATATGATGACAATGATGGAGGTAAATAAAAAAAAACGATAAAAAGAATCAGATAGACACACATTGAGTGGTAGAAAGAGATAGAGAGAGAGAGAGAGAGAGAGCGAGCGAAAGTAAGAAAATGGATTGAAGTGCCTCATTATTAATTATTATTGCATTACCAAACATTTTCGAGCGTTTTCCACTTCAATCACACCAGCGAAAAGTCCATTTTAAACATTCGCAAACACGACAATAGTTTCAAAGCGACAATCATTATTTACTTGACAAGTTGTTGCGTGAAAACTTTTCGGCAAAATGGTCTTAATTGAAGCTGCATAATTCACTCCGCACAGCAAATGAACATTCAAAAATGTCGAATGAGACACGGGCGACTATGTGAAACGAAACCAATGGAGAAAAAAATGAGTAGAAGAGAAAACGCTGTATATTGCATAAATGCCGAATGATTCTTGACTTTCATTTGGAAACATAATCGAATTAGCATACTTAGTTTGCGAGTAACAACAGAACTGGAACTATGAAGTAAGTTTCAATGAATACGAGACATGAATTGCGTCTCTCTATATATTGTACTGTTTTGTGCTATGATGTTATTTTGTATCTCTTCTCTTCTTCGATCTTTTTTGTGTCTGTGTGAGTGTAAAGCGCGATTCGTATAATCGCAGAGTTACAAGGCAACGAGTATCTACTTAATTTCAAAATCAGTTTGTTCACTTATTTGGCTGATGCGGCTTTTTGGATTGAATTGTTTAATTGGTTTAAATCACTTTATCGTGTGTGCGTGGATTTGTGACTTAAGAGAGCGAACGAGTGTAACGATCGTCTTTTTTCTCTCTTCAGTTTTGTTCCCATACATATTCCGTAAAAGAGCACTTATAGTATGTTTTTGTTGCATCTTTCAATTTCAGTTTCCCCACACAGCAAAAGAAAAAAGAAAAGAAAGAAGGCAAAGTGTGTAAACAAATAATTTTGGAGCCCGATATCGTGCGCATTTACATATCTCGAACGAGATATACTGCTACCACTATATCGTAGACCATGACAATCTTGCATGCGGGTATTAACATGATTCCCCTTTGAAATAGTTATTTGTAGCATTTTGATTGTATTTTCGTATGCATATACACATGTGTGAACATTTTTTTTTTAATTATCTGGGTGGCGTAAAGTATGTTTAAATTAAACTTATTATAAGTTTTCACTCAATTCGTTCAACTGCACGTGCAGTTAAACTAGTATCTTCAATGACTAAGTTATGTCACATACACACAAACAAAAATCACACACAGTATGCTGCTGCTGTGTTGCTTTATGATTTTCAATCACCAAACTGCTGCTGCAACCACAACTACCACCATCACCTCGAAGAAAGTAGTAGCATACAGGATGCGAAAAGAAAAATGCAAACCAAACACAATTTTACGATGAAAATCATAGAGAAAATATGCAAAAGAAAATCAAATTATCATCTTTTTGCGCCATCTACATATCCCTGTTTAATTTTCAGTTCATGACTTAGCCCATGCACATACACTTGATTCAAGATTCGCTTTTGAAAATATTGTACACAATCGCAGTCTCATAACTTAAACTCAACAAATTATAAAAATGCAACGCGATCCGAACATTGATGTGACACGAGTGATAAGAAGGATCTTTTTAACTTAGTATTTTTAGAAAAGGGATTAAATTTGTGACTCTTGCTTTAATTTAGATACTTTCGCTAGCATGATCGAGAATCTTTTTTCTTTTTACTAATAAATGGCGACCTACACATAAAATACTTTTCCAAATAGAAAATCAATTGAAGAGAGAATAAATTATATTTTCAGAACTATTTTTATCTTCATAATAAGAACACCTGACTCTAATTGAACGGTGACAGACGATATTGTCGATGAAATTGTATTAAAAAAAAACCACAAAGAAGACTGACACTTAAGCAGTAGACCGTAAATATTTTTAATTAGTAGTCAGTCTTCGTTCGATTGATTTGTGTGAATGAAAAATAAATTGGAAAATAGTGGAGAATCTTATAAAATTCATCTGGAAAGATAGCTCTGAATTGAATTACTGTTTAGTTATTTTACATTTTCATAACAAATTTCCAGTTCAATAGAAAATGTGAAAAAAAAAACGTTTGCATCAATGATAAATGTTATGGTTTGAATGCATCGTAATATTGCATCTTCTTTGTTGTGTGACTGAGCTTTTAAGCTGCCATGAAACAAAATGATGAAAACAAGCACGTTCACGTGAAAACAAGAATCATGTACATAAATTCTACGTACATAAGAAAAGTATTGAAAATGATTTATTTTCAATCGTGGCCAATGAAATATGTGCATCTCATAATATCCCCATTTATAATTATCGACACACACAGCTATTTTCACATCGACATTCAAATATCCAAAAATAATAATAACAACAGCTGCAAATAAGATCAGAAACTGGGTGCCGACCAGCGCTCATACCACGCGAAACAAAAAGAGGAGAAGGTTTAATGTGAAATGCACTTGCAACCGATGAAAAGACAAAAATAGTTTTCACTTACATCCGATGTGCTGCACATTGTTTCGATTTTGAGAAATTTCCGATGTACACCATTGCAACCACAGTTGGTGTCACCCGAGCACGAAAACATGCAGTCGCTTAGACGACATGGGATGTGGAAAATGGCAGCTTGACTATGTAAGCATATATTCTAATATTCATTTGAACGGGTGCAATGAGTAACATACAGGCAACATCTCCAATATTGACTACAACAACAAAAAATCAAAGCACAATTGAAGTTTTAGTAATCTGTGCACGAACTTGCACTCCATTTTAAGCAAATAAGAGACGAGAGCGAATGGTGAAAGGAAGAGCATCAAAATCAAAATATAGCAAAAAAGGGCAAGAAACGAGCATTGAGTATCAACGAAAATTGGTAAAATGTAACGAGAAATACCGTGAAAGAAAGAGAAAAAGAGAGAGAAAACGGGAACAAATACGCAGAATAAATCGAATCAAAACATGCGATTGACTCGACATACAATTTATTTTGTTTAATTCCGTTACTTCAGTATGCATCCAACCGAGGGTGCGGATTGCAATTCAAAATCGTATTATGCATTATGTGTATACGATCGGTATTGCATGCTAGAAATTCATAATGACCACGTTCACGTAGTATTTTGAACGATTCGCACGAGTGCCAAAAAGGTGTTATGCGGTTACTATGTGTCTAAGTAAACGTACAATCATCTGGCTTGATAAAATTGAAATAGCAAACTTTAAACTCCGTACAACCCACGATTCGAACCTCAATATCCACCCGATGGTGTCATGGTATGGTCAAGGCGAATTATTTTCCAGTGAACTTAGCATCCATGCTAACGTGTTATCAGTTATTCGTTTGGGGGCTATTGTTTCGCCTTTTTGTTCATTCAAATGCACTTAGGTGTGTTCACCGGTCTTCACTAATTTTTCATTTTTATTGCATTATCTTGGCGTACGAGCTACTATGTCAAACGTTGGCATTTCTTTGAATGCCACAGGAATGTGTGTCACCTGTGGCAATGCAAATTTGGTAAAAATAACACACACACTCTCGGGGCGGACATAAAATTACTGAACAGAAAATATTTCGGTAGAATTTAAAATCAACCCGAAGCATTACATTGAGTGGTGATACCTTGACGAAAATGAGTTTGCGCTTGCCCTGTATTTCTTTTTAATGATTTTAACCCTAATGTGAGGCTGGCTCCGGCCATCTACAAAGAAGAATATTGACTGGCACTTCCTTCACACCGATGAGAAACAGTTTGGCCAGTCTTACAACAGAGAATATAAAAAGTCATCTCCAATCCATTGATAAAACAATTCGGCCGGCATAGTCTCAGCTCGTATTACAGACGATGCGATTGTTACGAAACGTTGAAAGTGTCACTGGAAATTAATTACTCTGATTTCTTTATTCCTCTAAATGGGCCAAAAGGTTAGCCATAATTATGCCAACCGTTTCGGAATATCGTAAAACTACACACAAGCGCCCAATATCAAACAAGAAAACACCGAAACATTTGACTCACACTTTTCCACATTAAAACATTAAAGTGATATTTATCATTCGGAATATAGTGGTTATGTGTGTATATTGTGTGTTGACAGGCGAAAATGTTTGCTATTGCATTTTTTTCTTTTATGCCTGACAGCGACATTAGCTTCAATCAGTTGATAAATTTACGAGGCAATATGATTGGTTTTGCGTAAACAATTGTCTAGACATTTACACGGGACACATCAATTTTCGGTTAAACAACGATAATATAATAATGCCAATGAAATAATTTGTTTCGCACGTCAAACGCACTCAAAACTGACTTAATATGTTTTATGCTTTTCTTTTTGTTTTTAAATCAAATGTCAACGGGATGAGAACGGTGGTCCACTTATTGCGTACATTTTATTTATCATTTGCAATCGATAATATTGAAAATTTAGAGAGGGAGAACAAAAGCGACCGAACCGTCTATGGCATTTTGTAGTTTGAAATTGTACAACAAGTAGTAATCATATGATTATATCACTCCATCATATAAGAGCTGTGTTGTCATTATATATCTATAGCGTTCATTACTAACGAATCTCAAAATAAACAGCAAACACTGTGAACAATGCACACATACACACAGTAAATGTGTGTCGTCTCTTTGCGTGTACTTTGCCTTTGTCTCGCTCACTCCATCATTCGTTCGTCCGTCTAAGCACAAATACCAACAAATAGTTGTTGATTAAGTTGCTGTGAGTTGAACGTATGTTGTAGAATGGTCAAACAAATTTTGATTCGCTCTATACACATGTAAAACGTTGGTCTAAGTATATGTGAAGCGGCTGTATAGACATTTGTTAAAGTGTCACTTTGACATTAAGTAGTTGGTGCTCATTGTTCGTGCTGCTATCAGTATTTTTTTTCTGTGTTCTTTCCTTTTTTGATTCTGACAATAATTCCATTGTGAAATTCACATTTTCTTCATATAGAAACGTATAGAAAAATGAGCGATTTAAATACAACGAAATTTTTGAAAATAGCTGCTGCGGTTGTATTCCCAAATATTGGTGGATGGGCCGGCAGTGTAATAACCCGAAACAATTTGAAACCGTGGTACGCATCGTTAAATAAACCAAAATATAATCCGCCGAATTGGCTGTTTGCACCTGCATGGACGAGCATTTATTGTGGCATCGGTTATGCATCGTATTTGGTCTTTGAGGATTTACTTGGTACGGGAAATGGATTCGATCGCACCGCTCAAGTCGCATTAGCATTATATGCAAATCAAATGGCATTAAATTGGGCATGGACGCCGATATTTTTCAAATATCACTCTTTAAAATGGGTATGTAAAATGGTCGAATTCGCGACGGTTTTTATATATACATATGAGATAGAGAGTATGAATAAAATAGAGAAAATGTACCGATTTGAATACACATACCTTTGAACTATGGACGAAAGATCAACAAACACACTCATACTTGTACATTGCTTTATTGTTCATAATCAAATTACTCTTCATTTTATACATATCGATCACATTTTTATTGCTGCATTCGCAATAAAAATTACTGATAATATTATGGGCTATATAAATGTTTTTTTTTTCTTTCTTTTCGCAATTTTATCTATAGAGTGCCATTGAAGTAACAGCGTTAACCGTATCGGCAACTGCATGCGGTATAGCATTCGGACGAATTAATCAAGTGGCAGGTTTACTTTTCATTCCATACGTCGCTTGGTTGGGTTTTGCCACATATTTAAATGTGTCCATCTACAAGAAGAACCAAAGTACCGACACCGCTAAAATTACGGCATCAAAATCTGATTAAATTCTGCAAACACAAAAAAAAAATCCGGTTCAATCAGCAACAACAATAAAAATGGTCGAAATTTGTTTAATTATCCAAATATTTATAGAGCAACCGGGAGTGGCCATCTATTGCTTATGCATTACAATGAATTTTCGGAATATCTAACGATTTGTAAATGAAATTGTATTTTGATATTCTCAATATAATAAAAGCACAATATGAATTATTTATAAAATTCAAACATAATATGGTACTGGTATGTGTATATATATTCATATGCATTCGATCGTTTATCTAGCGCAATCTTTTGCCCTTCATTATTCTCAGCTAACTCAATAGGGATGTGAAAAGAGATAGAGGCCTTGATTTGACTTTCATTTTAAAATATCGCATTCATTATTCATATTCGAAGCATTTTCTTTAGTATTTTTCCAATCAAAAATGCGTGTGTGTGTGGGCTTGTGTCCGCACACGGTTGGTTCTCCCCTTTTTTATTTCCAGTTTTTTTTTTCAGCTCTAGTCACATGGCATTTTATCATTTCGACGACACACACCAAAAATGGGTGACATCCGAAAGCGAAAATTAAGAGGTAAAGAGAATATTTTTACACACTTATATAATATATTTACAGAGAATATCGCGGCGAATTTTTCCATCATATCCTTTACTGCTTCCATATTGACTCGTCCCATTCGTTTACATAATTTTTTTAAAATGGAATTTATGCAAAAGCAAGCACAAAGTCATATGTAAAATGTGTCTCTTTTTTTTCATTTCATGTCATCTCTTATGCTCACTCTGCCAAACTTATTTACACATACACTTTTCATTTCGGTTGGTGCATCGATTCAATCGAGTCCGATCAATGCCAAACCCAATAAAGTGTAACGATTTTTCATATCTCTTCATTTGACAAAAACAAAAAGAAAAACCACACAAACACACTGAACCGAAAATCGAACACATAAAGAGGAAAATACAAATTACCATGTTATTATACAATGGTTGGAAGAAGACTGTTTATGTCTGCATCCGCAAAAAAGGTCATCCCGTGTGTAAACTTTGACTCGTTGGTTGTGTACATCATTTTATTTCTCTCTTTCTACTGTTCGTTAATTTTGAATAAAGGTTCCATATATGGTTTGAAGTCGCGCGCGCTTCACATTTGAAACGAATGAGAGAGAGAGAGAGAGAGAGAGAGAGAGAGAGAGAATGACAACTGAAAATAAAGCACAGCATTCGCTTTCGTCTCAGCATATTCCATGTTTATTATATAATTGGCCAAATTGTCCTTTTCGGCAGAGAGAGAGAGAGAGAGAAGAAACGAAAAAAGATGTTTTAAAGCGTAAATTTCAGTCTGTAGTTCAACGGCGACTGTCAGTGAAACGAATGCATCGATAAAGCGTTCGACAACTGCTCAGCTGTTCGAAATCTGCCATCAAAAGTAGTGATGATTTGCGTTAAAGCAGTGGCACACCAATGCCAAAAATTAAAGCTCCTCGCTCGATTTTGAACTTTTCACGCATTTTTTTCCACCCTCTTTTCTCACTTCATTCGCACACGAAGCACCATTCATTTTCTTTGGCGAATTAATATTAGATGCTCTTTTGAATATATATCGAAATTCATTTTTTTTTTGTGGTGCCATTTTCCAACAAAGATTTCGAAAAATTCAATTCTAATACAATGCATTGCATCGTGTGTGGGATCGAATATTCTTGTGTTACATGTTTGTCGGGGAAAAAATGAGAGCATATTAAAGAAACCAAACCAACGATGGAAATGAAGAGAATGAAACAAAATCCAAAATAAAAAATCTAAAAAATAATTTTATTGATCTGTCGATTCGAAATATCGGCAGCCGCATTTTTTTGTGTATGTTTATTTGTCTGTGCAATGGATAATGGATATCATATCAGTTCGAAACGTTCGCTTTAAAATGCACTTTGAATGTTACAGCAATTTTTTTTTGAGTATATGAATTATAGCGATATTGTAATAAAAATGGATGGCACACTGGACAATGGAAAATGATAAAGATATTGTGGCGTGTAATGGTTATATGAATATGATTTTTTTTTGTGGTCGTGCTTTTCTCGTCAATCCAAACACATATATATTTGTGCCATTTCATTTCGAATCATATAGAGCTTTATATGCACTGGCATTTTTAAACAAATCAAAAAAGGTTCAATCAATTCTGTCCATCTTGCAATCGATGATCCTCACGTCCCGTATCCAAGTCTCTATCTCAACTATCTCAATTCTCCTAATTTACCATTCAATTTTCTTTTGATGGCCCCTTTTTTCTTTGCATTTTCGATTCGCTTCCAACGTCCATCCTCTTTCCGATCTTTTTTTTTTGTGTTCGCTATCACTTTATTGGATATTTTTTATTCATTCGGACCGGATGCCGTGCACATGGAAAAGAATATGTATGCGCCGGCTTCGTTCGTCTTCTAATCGTTCGTTGGATTAATCGTTTGCTGTGTTTTCTTTGCCAGTTATAGCTGCTTTCATTTAACTTCATATTAATGCATGTTTGAATTGTACCGTTCTCCTTCGAATACACATGTTTTATGGTAAGCGCATTTTATGCGACGATTTTCTTCGTTACGTCTTATCGTTGTGAATTTATTTGCTACTTTATGTGCTGAACATTCAAGCTCCATCGCAACAGTGATTCTTTTTGAATCGTTGCTTTGTGTGTGTGTTTTTTTTGTTGTTGTTTTTATCGCGTTGGCTTTTGCTTTTGCGTTGTTCCCTTTTTTTTATTCGGTCGTGTATTTGCTCAACTCATTCAAATACGTTGAGTGTACATAAGCAGGCTGAGAGCGTGTTTTGCACAAAATTGTGTGCATTTGACCATGTAATGGGTGGATAATACACAAATGTTTCATAAGCATGGACAGCGTTATTGTTGTTCTCTATATGGTGTTAAATCTTCTATCTTTTCATCTTACAGGATTCCTTTTCCTTTCTCTCTCTCTTTCTTTCTCTCTGTCTCGATGATGACAAAAAGAAAAGAAGTAAAATGAAATAATAACAGAGAGCAAGAAAAAAGACAAGAAAAATCGTTACAAATGAAAGAAGAAAAAAACATGTACACAATGCGATGAAAATGTATGTATCGTGTTTGCCAGATTGTTCGAATTTCTGTCTGTCTACTGGGATGGTGGATTGGATTATTACTTGGCTGCCTGTTCGGATGATGGAGACTATGAACTGCTGCCGTAAGGCCACAATGTAATAATAATATTTTTATAGTTAGCTACATAAATAGTTGTAAACAACCTATTATCAACATAAAATGAGCGAATGAGTGAGTGAATGAGTGCGAACGAGAAAAGAAGATGCGAAAATGAAGCCTGCACACACAGCAGAACAGATACAACACCCAACATCGTATGTTCATGCTTTTGATATATTTGTTCATATAGGAAGTGGAAAAATTTCCTACTTTGGTGGTTTATATAATTTTCTTTTTGTTCAAGCTTGGCAAAAAAAAAAATATGCAGAAAACATACATTCTTTTGTGCACAATCGAAAACAAGTTCTTTTAGCCAAAACTATTTTTTGGCAATTCACATGTCTGTATCCTGTCGACGTTGTTCATTCAACGATCAGACATTCAACCATCAATCTCCGACGAGAAAATGCAAATACTTGCTCTGCTCTTCACTTCCAAATATGTTTTTTTTTGTACAAAAAGCAATTTATCGAACATAAATCGAGAAAAAAGATGCCAAACCTTATTTCACCGAAAGAGATAAAGTAGTTTCGAAAGTTAAAAATATTTGAAGATTTTGATCCAATGTTGTAACGGTTGATTGTGGTTAGGCATTAGATCCGTTTCAATGCTGTAAAATATGGGATTTATAACCGTTTCAATTTTACGGGATAAAGCGACAGAGACAGTGACACACAAAGCAAAAATGAAATGTGCGTACCGGCTACTGTTCCGCAATATTCTCCATGCTCACATACCATCGGCTGCACAGTGTCTAAACGACGATAAAAAGGATACTATGCAATGTTGAATTGTTTGTACTCTAAGTGCTGTGCTAAATTTCATTTGATCCGTGTCTAATACAAATTCCCGTATAGCAGAAGGAAAAAAGCCGAAAGAAAATCTGTAAGATGTAATATTTGCGCATGCGTTATTATTTAGCAGCAGTTAATTCTCCTCCATCGTTGCCGCTGCCGCAACTGTCGTTTAAAAAAAGGCACACGATTTGGTTTGGTTTGCTGTTGGTACGGTGCTGTACTCGTAACAGATTCGAAACATGTTTTTAAAATTCGGTCGCGTTGTTATTGTTCTATCATAGGGTGATTCAATTCGGATTCGGGAACGTTGTTTTGAGTTGGAAAATATCGAGAACGGAAAATGTTTATACTCCGAAGGGGTAAATTTTGTTACGAAACGATGTGGATGTGTTTGCTCTCTTTTTTTAAGCTGAAAAATTGTAGAAGAGTAAGCGAGCAAGAGGATAGCGTACGCCATACGCATAACGATTGTAATGCCGACCATTGTCAATATCGTCTTCGGCTATCACCCACCGATGGAAAATAAACCAACAATAACACAATTGTACGTACAGCAGTAGCACCCGTGCAGCACACTCAAAAATCAACAAAAACGTACACATGTCGAGCATTCAAACACCTCAGCTATGGAATTCGGTTTCAGTTTGATCTGGACTAGCGATTGCGATGTACACAGTTTCACATTTATTGCGTGCGTGTATATTTTGTATTTCAAATGGTTTCGGAGTGCGTGTGCATGAAATGAATTCAATGAACCATTTGAGCGAACGCTTACGCGAATAACATCAACAGTGAATGCAATCAAAATCTACCTGTCGGATTATAGCAGTTTTCAATCAACATTCGTTTTTTTTTTGTTCTTCTGTTTAGTTGTGTTGCGAATGCTGGCCAAATATCGTTCTTGATTTGTTTGTTTGCTTGTTTTCGCCTTCTATTGTGTGCATAAGAGCATTTGAGACAGCAACTACTTATAACGGCGAACGAAAAAAAAAATTATCTTGAAACAAGTGTGTTTTTGACAAAACTGATAAGTAACTTTTTCAATGGTGATTCAAAAACTCGATGATATTGGGCGCTTATATTCCAAACAATCAATTTTTATTGTTTTCGATGATAGCGACACAGAATGAAAATCAGTGCACAACTTATATCGACATTCGAACGATACCCCATTATCTGTAACTGTTTAACGATCAAT